AAGCAGACGCTGTAGCGAGTAGCGACGTCGAGAGCAGCAATAGGGCGCAGGACCACATGCGAGTATTGTGAGGAGCAATGGGGACTGATGGACCTGGCGGACCACTAGTGATGCCTAGAATTGGTAGATATAGAGGTCTCGCCCAAGATCTCCGTTGCGCTTTCGGGTCTCGTCAGTCGCCAGCATCGATGGTTGTAGGCGGTGATCTTAGGGGCCAACATGGCCGAAAGATACCTCGTGGATCGGCTAGAAACCGAAAGACCAATACTGATGCGCTCTCTGGGTCAATGTACAAATTAGTCTTGTGGTCGCAGCCAAACTCACTCCTAGTACTGCCTAGGGGATGAAAATGCCCGTGCTAATATTATCGACACCTCTGTCTGCACTGGCACATGTCATTTGGCGATATAGGATGATGGGTTCTCAGTGTCGTGACGCAATACTCCGCCACCAAACGACATACAGTTCGCGCGATTACTCTCTATTACCAACGAGGTGCGATCGAGATGTAGCGCGATCTTCCACTCCTGGTAGGACTACGTAACGCGAATCTGAGTTGACAAGCACTGAGGCATGTGTACGTGAACACGCAGAAATCGCAACGTCTTTTGTCGCTATAAAATAGTCGTCCATGGCTTGGCGGGTCGGTGCAACACGCGCCCTAGGGCGTCCTGGAGACTCGGTTCCTTGGGCTGCGTCGGTCGACGGGGTACGCGGGCCGCCCGCCGCCGCTCCCTCGCCTACTCATAGTTTTCGTCTGCAACCCTTAGGGTGGTGTCTTACCTCGTATTGCGCTGAGGCAATCGCGGCTTCTCGCGCCGCGCGGGCTTCTGTGAGCGACGTGCGAAGGTCGTTGAGGTCCTTGTCACCCCGGGCCTTGACGGCGCGCACGAGCACGGACGACGCCGCGTCGACGGCCGTCGTCATCGTCGGTGCCGTCTCGTCAATGATGTCGGGCGACACACCGCCGTAGTAGATACGAACTCGCTCGCACTCGAGGTCGAAGAGCAGCTCGGTGTAGTCGTGCGCCATTTTCTCTCGATAGGGCCGGTCGTGGTATAAAATGGTGTCGCCAAACTTGTCGTACAGCTGCTGCAGTGCGTTCGCGCAGTACGTCGAGTGGGCTTGAAACAAGAGCAAGAGTTTGTCGCGTTGGCGTTGTTCCTATCATGTTGATAGCATCTTGACAACTTGATACTACACCTTGAGGCGCTCGGTCGAAATGGTCTGAAAATGCCGCCGCGGGTCACTCGCGACGAGCTCAAAGTCGTGGATCTTGTGCAGCGTGAGCTCGCGGTCGGCAATCGAGACGACCGCCTGTCGGCAAAACATTGTTAAAAATGGTGGCAACAACGAGGTTCGAACCCGCTCCCAGAGCTCGAGCGCCGACGCCAAGTGCGGTGCGTGTGATTTCTGTGTATACTTCATGACGATCTCGAGTTTGCACTTGGCGCTGAGCTGAAGCGCGGTAAAGACCGACTCCATACGCTGCTGCATGTGCAGTCGGAGCGGGCACGGCGTGCCATGCTTGTCGTCCGCCGTCGCGACGTCTCGGAGGGCTTCTTCGTAGGCAAGTTCGTGCAACCGGTCGTCTTGCGTCCGCGGTGACGACGACGACGTCGATGGCATTTGGGAGGCTTGCCGGACAAGGCGGTCGTACGCCTCTTTGCGCGCGAGTGACGTGGCATCGTTGTGGAGCAGCTTGCGCGTCGAGCTCGGCGTTGGTCGTTTTGATGGTATTCGAAAGAGGTGCTTGGTTGTGAGGGGCGCGCCGTCGTCGTCACTCGCAACCTCCACGTCGACATCGAGCTGGTCGGGCGCCGAGAGATCGGCGTCTTCATCTTTTGTGCCCTGCAAATGATCGTCGTCTTCGGGTACGGCTGCCAAAGTCGAATCTCGGTGCGCTGTAGAGCTCCGATGCGGTGATGCGAGAGGCGTAGGCTGTTCTGGTGCTGCTTCCGTTGGCAAAGCTGCGACGTCGTTCGTGCTGAGACCACTGAGCGAGGTTGCAGCGTCTGCATGTGGCCCATGACCGTCTATGACGTCATTGAAAAAGACTTCGTCGTCGCCGTCGGCTTGGTGGAGTGCTCCGTCAATCGGAGCAGCGCTTGGATCCAAGTCGAGGCCAAAGAGATGCTACAGAGAAGATGCAATTAGCAAGCAACTGGAACTTGTCGCCCACCGAGAATGACGCCACGGTGACGGCTCCGACGGTGGTCGCCGTCTGTGACGGGCTCATTGCACTCTCGGAAACGACGACGGCCTTTGGCGCCTCGGGCCTCCAGTTGTAACAGTACATGGCCAATGACGCATATGGTGTCTTCTGGCCCTTGACGACGGGCGCCGACACTTTTTTCCGACTCTCAGTAAACTGCGCGAGAGTGGCGTCGGGCTGCGATGGCAGCTGCGGCTCTGTCCACGACGTGCTATGCCACTCGACGTGTGCGCGGGCGTGTGACGTCTCGGCTTTGGTCGTCGTCATTGGCGGTCGTCGTCCGGAGAGCAAGGCGAGGTGCTCCATGAGCAGCACCGACGTGTCGATCTGCACCTTGGGCGGCAGCACGAGACTCGGCGTCTCGGGCAGCGGCGGTCCGCACTCGACCAGCCGCATTTCGTCCATTTCAAACGCCTGCGGACCCTAACCACACAGTGTAACCGTCGCGACGTCGGCCAATCATTTCGCACCATGTACAAGAGCTCGACGTGGCGGACGTCAAATGCATCGGGAAAGCGCGGGAAAAAGGCGAACGGCGGCAATGCCGTCGCATTGGCGTCGGGCGTCGCCGCCTTGGGGCGTGACATGTGCGGCGTCATCGAGATCTTGAGGCGCGCAAGGAGGTGGATGTGTGCTTTGGTTTTGGCTGTAAACTTGCGCGGCGACTTGGTCTCGGCCGTGGTCGCTGCAAGAGCCTAACCAAAAGACAAGTTATATGGATGCCAGTAGGCCCCTTGGTCGTACGGATGCCGCCGCCGCGCGCTTGGCCTCGAGCTCTGCCCGTCGATGTGCAATGTAGTCGTGCCGGTGCTTTCGCGACGCCTCGGTGGCCTCGCGCACTTGGTCGTCGTGCGCGATAGGCTTAACTGGCGTTCGTACGACCGTGTGGCCCAGTGGTGCCGCTGTCTTGGGGCGTCGAGGGTGCAAGCCAATGCCCCCCGGCGTCGTGAGCGGGGGCCGCTGTAGCGACGACGATGACGACGTCAACGCGATGGCCTTTTCCAAGATGGTGTCAAAGTCTGTTCGCTCCAAGACAGCGAGGGAGCACGTGTCGGATGCGACGGTGACGCGCATGGTGCCAGGCTGCGCCGATAGCAAGTCGACTTCGCCGCAGAAAAAGTGATCAAACGGCTCTCTACACCATCGGTCATTTTTTATAGTCCCAGTTAACAAGAGAAGGGGTACTTTTGTACACTGTGGCCCGACTCGAAATGCACGCTGAGGCAGCCGTCAACGAGCACATAGAGACAGGTCGAGGTCACTTCGGGTGAGACGAGCATCCGGCCTCGGCGTGCCACGAGCGGTGTCGCCGCCTGCACCATCTCCGCCTACGTATCGTTATCCTCACTGTTTCAACAGGCAGATTGTACCTTGTAGTGCATGGGAATCGTCTTGAGACACGATACGTGGCACAGCACACAGAGAATGTGCCGGAGTCGGTCCGCTGCTTCGTCGACCATGATGCCTATAACACCATATTTGATTTGTTGTCGTACAACAAGTGATCGTCTCCAACTCGGGTGCGCATTGTGGCTGTGGGCAACCAACGGGCGACTCGCGACATAGCTCGCCACTTGGTCAAGAAGGATTTGTTGGTGCTGGTGCCGAAGCCGCGGGCTCTCTTTCGCAGCATCTTTGGTCGCCATGAACGACGCCATTGCCTCCAACTTGAATCGTCCGAGGGTCATGTGTCCCGGCGCAATTGCCGCTGACGAGTGCGCGCGCACCGCTCCAGCTTTTTCCTCCAAGAGCCCCCAGAGCACCTACGACTCTTGAGCATAAACAAACGAACGCTGTCACCGCCTTACCTTTTGCCGCACGGTATCGGGCGTCACCTGACTCCGCAGCTCGAGCTTGAAGGTCGTCAAGAGGCGTGTCGACGTCGCGGCCGCCGAGAAAAAGCCATGGTTCAATCTTCGTTGAAACGAGGCGCGCAGTGACTCGTACAGCGCATGGCCGAGCGACTCGATCGCCGACTGTATGCAGTGGACGAGCTCGTTATTGCTAATGTGCAAGTACTGCGCCTGCAGAAAGGCAGCCATGGCAGGATCCCGCGGGTCGTGCCAAATCGCATGCAGCACTCTTCGCTTGTGCAGGCGTAGTTCGGCTTGCCATGCTCCGTGCTCGCTCGCGGGCTGGCCACTGAGGTAGTTGTCTGCATCGTCCTAGTACCTCGAATCATCAGCCCATCGTTTGCTCCACAACGGCAGAACGGACAGGGTGCCACGTCTCGGTGCCGTCGTCGGGGGGAGCCTCCGGCATCGAGATGCGCTTGCGTCGCGGCGCCACGGGCGTGAGCGCGTGGTCGCATTTTCGTGTGTCTCGAATGGTGGGGGGCACGTCCCCCGGGGGGCGCAGTCCTAGTTGGATACTTTGAGCCCGTATATCGTCGACATCGAATGCTACGTCGTTTGAGCACTTCGGTTTTGGACTTGGTTGCCATGAAGACGGTGTACTCGCGGTCTTCGCCATCGATGTCCATGGTCGTCGCATGCTCGATGGCGTCAAGGTAGTTCATACTTGCAAGTCGTTTCACGACGTAGTTACTGCTCCTTTCAAGGTATACTAGTAGCTCGATCGACGTTGAGGTACAGGCGATGCTGCATCAACTTGTACACTGTATATCGTCGTGCATGTTGATCGAAATTAGTGGAAGACTTGTCATCGCATCCGATCCCAAGCATACGAGCAAATCGCACACTATATACCAAATATAACTCTATTGCCGTCGACCACCTCAACTGGAAAATGATATCTTTTTGGCCAATCACCGCCGCGCCTCGCCGTGGCGTGCCAGGAGTGGCCAAAATCACGTCCTTTTCGTCCTATGGACGCGTTTGATTGGAGCACTTGCAAGCTGACAAAGTTGAGCGCCCAGTGTGGCAATTGACGCCGAGCGATGATCCAGAGCCTCTTTATCATCACGCCGACAGGCGAGATCATCATCGAGAAGCACTGGCGGGGCACGACGAACCGCAACGTGTGCGACTTCTTTGTCGAAGAAGTCAACAAGTACAAGGCGCGCGAGGTACGGCTGCCTGTCCAAACGGCAAAGTCAGTATGCTGCTCCGTGTAGGACGTGCCGCCGGTGATTGCGACCGCCAAGCACTATTTGATTAGCGCCTTCCGCGAGCAGCTGTACATCCTCGCGGTCGTGACCAACGAGGTACGTCGTGGGCTGCCTCCCTACCGGCTAAATGCTGGCACAGGTGTCGCCCCTCGTCGTCATTGAGGTGCTGCACCGCGTCGTCGCCGTCTTCCTCGACTACTTTGGCAAGTTTGATGAAAGCGCCATCAAGGACAACTTCTCGACGGTCTACCAGCTCCTCGAAGAGATGCTCGACAATGGCTACCCGCTAACAATGGAGCCCAACGCACTCAAGGCCATGGTCGCGCCGCCGTCGACCGTCAACCGCCTCACGGCCATGGTCTCGGTACCGCTCTCATCTAGAACCAAACTTTGTACGAGCGTATTGCATCTAGGGCAAGTCGCGGGTCAGCGAAGTGCTGCCGGACGGCGCAGTGTCGGACATGCCGTGGCGCAAGGCCGGCGTCAAGTATACGCAGGTACCCTCGCCCATCACAAGTCTTTACTCATGTAATGCGTAGAATGAAATCTACTTTGACATTGTCGAAGAGATTGATGCCATCGTCGATGGCAATGGCCAAATGATCTCGTGCGAGGTCAACGGCGCGATCCACGGCAACTGCCGGCTCTCGGGCATCCCGGACCTCACCATGGTGTTTACGGACCCGTCTGTCATTGACGACTGCTCGTTCCACCCGTGCGTGCGCTACTCGCGCTATGACCGCGAGCGCGTCATCTCGTTCGTGCCGCCGGACGGGCAGTTTGAGGTACTTGATAGATTGATATATGTTTTGACCCGGAAGACAATATGTCTGTTGATAGCTCATGCAATACCGCGTCCAAGTGCAGCAAATGGTGCCGCCGATCTACTGCCAACCGAGCGTGTCGTACTCGGAGCGCGGCGTCGGCACGCTCGAGCTCATGATTGGCCAGCGCAACATGCCGACGCTCGTGGCCAACTCGGTGAAAAAGTCATTTGCTGGTAAAGACAAATCTCTCCACTCGAGTTGTCTGAGCCACGACACTAGCCGAAGAGATTACAGTCGAAGTGACGTTCCCAAAGAGCGTGCGCACGGTCGACGCCAACACGGACGTGGGCAGCTGCCTCTTTGACGACGCCACCAAGGTAGTCTTTGCGTCGTCCGTTCCGGCTGCTCGACTAAGGCCCACGTTCATAGACGCTGAAATGGACGGTTGGCAAGATCAACCCCAAGAAGATCTTGACGCCGACGCTCAAGGGCAACATTGTGCTAGTGCAGAACGCCGCGATTCCTGGTAATTTGCTTCGGGAGACGATTCCGCTGATTGTATGGCGCAGATGAAAAGCCGATCGTGCTTCTGGGCTTCAAGGTGCCCATGACGACGGTGAGCGGTCTCACGGTCGAGACGCTCGTGCTCTCGAACGAGCGCTACAAGCCGTACAAGGGCGTGCGCACGCTCACCAAGGCCGGTCGGTTCCAAATCCGAACCTAGTCGCCCTTCCTCGCCGAGCTCAATATGACACAAGGATGTTTAAGGCTTCTTCTCCGTCAAATAATGGGCAGGTACTTGAGCTCGGATCGAACTATCCATTGGACTTTACCAGGTCGTTTGCAGCACAGAAACCAACATCCCTGGCAACCGCGCTGAGTTGTTGGCGCCGTGGCCGGGTCGAGAACGACCCGGCACGCTGTTTCCAAGGTGCTTCTTGACGACCCGGCACCACCGCGCACCATTGTACAAAGTAGCTATCTGACGAGAAGCTTTGGATCGCTGTCGAATGCAACGTTGTTTGGCTGTCGATCGAGTCCTTGACCAAGGGCAAGTGCAATGTGTATGGACGAAAGAACCTGGTTCGCGTGCTCGCGCTGGATTTTTTTTCGAATTCAAAGTATCCATTAGCGGACTGGATAATCCTATCCAATCGGTATACACAACCCCACACACAACAAAAATTACAAAATTCAACTGTCATGTTGATGTGCGTCGAAGATACTGCTTTTGATTGGCCAAAAACCAGTTGCGGGACGAACACCATTTGCCATTCTGCCATTGTCCATGCGGTACGCAGCACTCTCTCTACTCGTCGCTGCCAGCGCCGTCGCCGCCCTCGAGCGCACGACCGGCTGGCTCCACTGCCCGCTGCGCTACTCGGCCGCCGTCTTTGGTAAGGACTGGCGCAACACGACGTGCGCAACGTTCAACGCACCGCTCTGCTACCCCGGCACGTGCGCCTCGACGACGACCAACATCTCGGTGTTTGTCAAGCGCCTCGAAGCCGAGAACGGCGCTTTGCCCAAGGCCATTTGGCTGCTGCAAGGCGGCCCCGGCGCGTCGTCCATCAACAGTACGTTCCGAGTTTGCACTTTCTACGATAAGATCGCATTTTTGCTCACATTCTGGATGTAGTGGAAGGCTACATGCAGAATGTGTACCTCGCGCTCAACAAGAGCGTGAGCGTCTACACGATGGACCACCGCGGCACGGGCAAGAGCACGTATTTGGACTGCGCGACGACCGAAGCGACGACCAACGGCAGCCCGTGGGGCACCTCCATTAGCCCCTCCGAGCTGCCCGAGTGCCTCCGCAACGTGCGCCAGGTCTACGGCGACGATGCGGCCGCGGGCTTTTCGTCGCATAGCGCGGCAAGCGATGTGGCGGCTCTCATCCAGACGGTCACACCAAATGCCGAGACGTACGTGTACGGTGTCAGCTATGGCACACACTGGGTGCGCCGGCTCATGGCGCTCAACCCACCGACGGTCAAGGGCTACATTTTGGACGGCGTCTCGGGCCTCTTCTCCCGCTGGAATCTTGACTACCTGCAGGAAGGTACGACGATGATGACAAGATGTCTCTGTTTCTAACATACAGTGTGCTAGTCGACACGTACTTTGACTATTGCAAGGACGATGCTACGTGCCGCGACAAGCTCGGCACAGATCCCGCCAAGGTCCTCCGCAATCTCTACCACACGCTCGACACCAACGCGACGGCCCGGTCCGCGGCGTGCGTCCGCGCGCTGCCCAACTACTTGGACGCAGCCGTGCCGCCGTCGTGGGCCATTCGACACCGCCTCAAGCTCCTGCTCGCCGCCGGCGTCGGGTCGCAAGAGCTCATTCCTATTTTGATCTACCGCCTCAACCGGTGCTCGGCCAGCGATGAAGAGTTCTTGGCCGCGTGGAACGAGCGCCTCGCGTCCTCCGACTTGGCGACCGGCGGTGCCAATGACCAAGACCGAGACAGCTCGGCGCTGCTCTATGGTGCCGTCTCGTATTCGGAGATGTGGGAGCAGCCCGTGCCGTCCCGAACTGAGCTCGAAACTCGCTTTCTCAACAACCTCTTTGGCTTCAACCTCACGAATCAGTACCACGACTACTGCGTCTTCACCGGCGCATCAGCCGACATTTGCGACGGCATCAACAAGCCGGACGTCACCTTTACCTACCCCGCCAAGCTGCTCACGACGCCAAAGCTGCCGTCGCAAAGCTCGGTGCTCGTCTTTGCCGGCGTCCTCGACACTCAGACGCCGCTCGGTATCGCCGTCAACGTCACGCGTGACTTTCACAGCGATGACCGTGCGCGGCTCATCACCTACCCCTACGCCGGCCACAGCTGCCTCCTGCGCACGGCAGTGAAGTCCCCGGTGCGCTCCCATGTTGCACGCGATCCCATCTCATGTCAAATAGGGGCAACCCACGTGCGCGACGACGGTGCTGGCGTCGTATATTCGCCTTGGCGGCAACATTGCGCAGCTCAACACGAGCTGCCTCGACGACTTGGTCCCGACAGCGTTCACGCTCTCGGCCGCCAAGGCATCCACTACATTTGGCGTCAGTGACGCGTACGAAGGCAAGGTCACGACGGTGGTTGTCGCCTCAGCAACCGAGACGACGGCGGCGTCGATGGATCAAACGAGCGCGCTTCTTATTGCCAGCGGCTGCATCTGTGTCGGGCTCGTGTCCCTTCTCGTTGCACTTCTTCGCACGCGACGTGCCTCGCGGGCGACGTCCCGTGACGTCCTTGTCTGCCAGGCACCGTCGCAGCTCTAATACTGCATTTTTGTCGTTTGAACCGACTCCGCAAGCCGTAATTTGTGATACAAAGGCTGATTTGTGCGCATAGTGACTACTGCGGTGGGTAGTACAGAGTTGACCAATGTTTGGCCGCCTCCTTCACGAGCGTGACAACGACCTCTTGCGGAAACGCGGGATCGATCGCAATCGCAGGCGCGTAGAAGGGACTCGCCTCCTTCTGCGGACCAATCTCCCAGTCGAGCGACCGCGACAGCACGCGGTGGGCGAGACGGACGTGCGCGCGTGGGATCGTGTCGACGATGATCGTGAGCCAGTGACTCTAGCCGCAGAGGCTTTGCACGACAACGCCAATTTTCAAGATGAATACCTTGTCGGCGGCTTCGGTGGCGAGGATGTTGACGCCCTTTTGCACGATGCGAGGCCGAACGGGAATGTACACGTAGAGCTCGCTCCGTGTCTGCGTCCAGCCAATGCGCAGCTTTGGGTCCACAGCCCGCGACAAGATCGTAGCGTCGTCCGGAACGTCATGGCGTCCGTTCGAGTCGAACGCGTCGGCGGCGGCGTCCAAGAGGCTCGTCGCTCGGGTGCTCACCTTGCGCGTCATGCAAAAATGACAAAAATACACCCCGTTTCAACCGGCGACCTCGAAGCGCGGGGCATGAATCCACTGCAAGAGATCCACTCAACCTTGAGATCTTTTCTTTGAAGAAAGCTGGCCGCGATGTACACATTGTCTTGTGTTGCACATACGGAGGCGAAGCGCTGTGCTGTTGTGTGTCCCAGCGCTCAAATGTGCAAACTCAAAATCTCAAAATCTCAAAATCTCAAAATAGCAGCCGCAAGCACTTTATAGCTGGCATTGCGTCGCCTTGTACGTGGCATGGCGAGTGCGGACGTCCACGAGACGTTCTGGGACGGTGTCCAAGGAGCGATCGAGAGCTCGCCAAGAGACGCCTTTGAGCTTCTCAAAAGCTACATGGAGCTGGTCCTGGCACGCCACGACTTTGCCGATGGCAGCCGCTACATTGACGCCGCGCTGGATCTGCTGCGCACCGTCTTTGGTCTGGACGACGCCAACGTAGCTCGTCTCTCTTTTGCTAGCATGCACCATTGTGACTCTACCTAGGTTCAAGCCATGTACGAAGAGCACATTCTCTGCTGCAACGCGGTGGCCATGCAGAGTCTCAGCCAAGGTACCGACATTGCATTCGATTGTCTGACGATACCTGCTTGTGTAGGGCAGTCGGAGGACGCGCTGCGGCTCCTCACGACCGCCGACCAGCACACGGCGTCGGACGGACCCTTATACGCAAACGTCGCGACGCGCAAGCGGCTCCGCGCGATCACGCTCAATAACTTTGCGTGCTACGCCAAAAAGTACAATATTGTCATACGAACCTTCTAGTATACGCGGTGGACTAGACACGGCCAACTCCACGCCGCGATCCAGTACCTCGAGAAGACGCTCGCGCTCGAGTCGGCGTCGTCAGGAGCAAAGGCCGAGAACCCGGCGGGAACGCACCTCAATATCTGCGCCATCTTGTCGGCGATGGGCCGGCATCTCCGCGCGGCCGACCACGCGCGCTGTGCGGTGGAGCTCCTCTCGCACGAACGCGGTGGCAGACTGGAAGACAAGACGACGCCCGATAGCCTCCTCGCGATCGCTTACTTCAACTACGGCGCCGAGCTCGAACACCAGAAGAAATACGACCTGGCCGCGACGACGTACGCCAAAGGTGGTGCATCGCCGACCTCTTCATCGCACTCATAAGTCCGCGTAGGATACGACGTGGCGCGGGCCGAGCTTGACTCAAATCATGCGTTGGTGCACGCGCTGTTGCAGGCTCGAACCGACGCCCAAGACAAGGTGGCCGCTCGAAAGGGGTATAGCAGCCCCCGCGGGGCCAGTGCGGCCTTAGTGGTGAGCCCCCGGCGCAAGTAGCGACGACAGCAAAAGGACATGTAAGGGCTCCGCTCAACCACGTTTGGCTATGAGACATGATAAAAAATAGAAAAAGATAACTCTTGATTACCATCTGCGATAATCTAACGATCCGCCTGTCAGACAAGTCGCTCAAAACGAAATGCAGTATCCACTCTATGTATTGTGCCGAATCGACGCGCGACGTTCGCCATTACATGCGAATCTGGAACCGGCCCGACTTGGTCAGCGTACGCACCCCCTTGTACGGCTTGTACGACTCGTTGGTGAGCACGAGCGTCTCGACCGTGAGCCCACTCACTGTCGTGAACGGCACCTTGAAGCCCAGAAGCACGATGGGCTTTTCGTCTATATGAAGGGTAGATCAAGAATGTCCTTCTATCTCGTAAAATTAAATTTGTACCTGGGATCGCCGCGCCAGGCTGCAATAGCACCGAGCCCTTGAGCGTCGGCGCCACGTTCTTCTTGGTGTTGAGCTTCCCGACGTTCCACTTGATCGTCTAGCACACCAGCTCCAGTCGACATCGAGTCTGTTGGTCTCGGGTACCTTGGTCGAGTCGTCGTAGAGGCAGTTGCCGACTTCCGTGTTGGTGTCGACCGTGCGGACGCTCTTGGGAAAGGTCACTTCGACCGTAATCTCTTCCGCTAGACGCCAAATCGTTATAGTAAAAGGACTATACACATGTCGCATACCGAGAATCGGCTTTTTCGTGTTGGAGACGAGCGTCGGCATGTTGCGCGAGCCCAACGAGAGCTCGAGTGTCCCAACACCCTTGTCCGACCACTTGATGTGCGGCTGGCAAAAGATCGGCGGCACCATTTGCTGCACTTGGACGCGGTATTGCATGAGCTATCGACAGAGTTAGCGTCTTCCGGACCAAATTATATCAATCTATCAAGTACCTCAAACTGCCCGTCCGGCGGTACGAACGACACGACGCGCTCGCGCTCGTAGCGCGAGTAGCGCACGCACGGGTGGAATGAGCAGTCGTCAATGACCGAGGGGTCGACAAACACCATGGTGAGGTCGGGCACGCCCGAGAGCCGGCTGTGGCCGTTGATGATGCCGTTGACTTCGCACGAGATCATTTGGCCGTGCGTATCAACGATGGCATCAATCTCTTCGACAATGTCAAAGTAAATTTCGTTCTATTCCGAGCCTTCATAATGCATGTAGTGGAAAAGACAGCAATACCTGCGTGTACTTGACACCAGCCTTGCGCCACGGAATGTTGGAGAGGGCGCCGTCGGGCAGCACATCGCTGACGCGCGACCGACCCTTGGACATACGTGACGATAGGCGAGAACACTGTCGGTCGTACCGAGACGATGGCGGCGATGCGGTTGACGGTCGTCGGCGGCGCGACCATGGACTTGAGCGCGTTGGGCTCGGTTGTGAGTGGGTAGCCGTTGTCAATCATCTCCTCGAGGAGCTGGTAGACAGTCGAAAAGTTGTCCTTGATCGCATTCTCGTCAAACGTGCCAAAGTAGTCGCGGAAGACCGAGACGACGCGGTGCAGCAGCTCCATGACAATCAATGGCATGATCTAGTCGTCGTTACTCAGCGCATGGCTGCAGCCAGGCTATCGCGCCTACCTCGTGCGAGATGACGGCGAGGACGAAGAGGCCTTCACGGTAGACGTTGATGAAGTAGTGCTTGCTCGTGTTGAGGATTGGAGGCACCTCCTATGCATGGCCATGGCACCTGCCAGCTTGGTTGTCGCTCAGGGTTCTACCTCGCGCAGCTTGTACTTGTTGACTTCTTCGACAAAGAAGTCGCACACATGGCGGTTCGTCGTGCCCCGCCAGTGCTTTTCGATGATGATCTCGCCCGTGGACGTGAGGATGAAGAGGCTCTGGATCATGGCGGCGGCGGAGCGCAAGGAGGTCGATGACCACAAAGCCGACTTTCGAAAAACACACCGCGAGGTCAGTATCCGGATAATCGACGCAATGTGCCGGATAAACCATCGAAACTGAAACGCTTTTTCCGGTGTCGATGATATCCTCGTCCTCGCGTGTATATTGATATCGAAAGAAGAGACAACTTGGTCCAGATAATCGCAACTGCTAGCCATATTTGTATAATCGATTATCGATGGTAACTGCAGTTTTCTTATGGCGCCGCTCTATTCCAGTACGCTTCCTACTACTGCGAAGCGGGCTGGAAGCAGCGATGATTGTTCCGTATGGAGACGCCAATTGTGACGAGCGCGCCGACCTCATCAAAAACAATCAGCAGAATCCTAGCGTTAAAGACTGGAAAGAATCAGAAGGACTATCGAATATCGCTTCTAAAGTCGTATATTGTCGTGCGTTCGACATTGAATCGGTCCCAATCGTATTGCAGAAGTGTACGCACGTCGACAGCAATGGTCCTGACTCGCAGTCGGTCGTGCCAACTGCACGAGCCTTGTATGGTATCTGACGCCGCAGTACGTAAAAGGCACAGCGTCAATGCCAACCTTGGTGCAAGCGAGGCGGAGCGCCACGTCATCATCCGGTATGTATCCGGATGCTGAGTCTGTGAAACTTTATGCATTGCGTCTGACAGGGACTCAAAGATTTGGTTTGGACGACGATGGAAGCGTTCCTGCGCTGTGGCCCGGGTACGTCGTCGCGGCCGTCGACCAACTTGGCGACGGCGCCTGCGCGTAGGCTGGCCGCTTCTTCCTCCCTTGCTCGACGCTTTGGCAGCGCAGCACAGCGCACTCTTCGAAGACCTGGTGCGTGGCGAGGTCACTCGGTGCTAGCCTTTTCACGTCCTTGATTAGGTGGGCCTCGCCTGTGAACTCCAGCCAACAGCCGAGCTGCACGCGCGCATATCCACGGTACAGCCTCCATATACGACCGGCAATCGTTCAATCGCACCATGCAGGAGCCAAAGCTTCGCCTTCGTGACCCGTCCCATGCACGTAGTATCGCTGCCGGGCTCCAATTCATTGTTCGGTCTGCACCGCGGACCTCGAGCTGCGAGTCCTAACAGTCGATGTAGCGGCTTGACACTGCAAAAGCTGCAGTATCCTGTCGCGTCCATGGGCGCCGAGGTGCAAGCCAGCCACGAAGCAGCGTGGGAGGCCTGCCTTGGCAGTCTTCGCGCCGCATTGGGCAGCATTCGGCACCGCGATGCAATTGCGCTTCTGCTCCTCAAGCGGTGGAAGCGCCAAGTCCGGGGCGACGCTCCCACAACAGCGACAAGTCGTCTCGCCGACTTGGACTGGCAGCTCGGTGTGCGGCTTGCGCCACCCGCGGCGCCGTCCGTGCGCGTGACGCTCAAGTGGACCATCCAGGACGCGAGTGGCGCCAAGAACGTCTACCTCCAGGACCTTCCAGTGCACGAGTTTCGCGTACACACTGCAACCGGTTTGCCTTCCTCGTCTTATCATCGTCGTAGGCGCTGCATGCCCAAGCGCAGGCCGCCGCCGCGGTCCTCGCGGCCAGCTAACCCCATTATCGTGTACTAGTAGTCGACTTGATACACACTTGATACATACAAATCACGGCTGGTAAATCGTGTTGTCGTCATGTGGGCCGTGTGGCTTGATGTAAATTCTTGAGCAAGTGACAGACTACACGACTGTCACAACGATGCAAGCGCCCTCGACATACCGCGCGTGAGCATGTGCATGGCGTCGTTGATAGCGACAAGACAGCTGGCCGCGTGCTCGCCCTTCCTGAACGCGACGACCAATGTCGCGTTGGCTTCAATCGCGCTGACTTGGATACTGCAATTGCGCCCGCCTTGGATCGTCACCGACTGCGCACTGTCCCCGACAAAGGCCACTACACCCTGACTCAGCGTTTATATCGAGTGCATGCATGGGCAACTCATGTTGGCGGCGAGGTTGCGCAGCGACTGGAGGTTGACCAACACACCGAGCTGGTCGACTTCGACCGTCGCGTGCGTCACGGCGTCTTCGGTGACGAGGATGGCTTTTTGAATCCCACGGTGCTGCTGCACTAGCATCATTGACGATCGTACTGCAACCTGACGAGGCCAAGTGCGTACGTGTGGCGAGGATCGGCTTGATGGCGTCGCGGATGATTTCCGAAATTTTGTAGTGAAAGCCATGAAAGTCCCGTAAATTGTGGCCAATGTTGCCGAGGTCGCTTGCGTACTCGTCGACGAACGCGGCCAAGATCTCGTGGGCGAGGAACGCTCCAAACTTGGGGCCGTCCGCCACGTCAAAGAAGAGCGCACAGCACACCTTGGCGCTCTCGTTGGTCACGATCGTGACGGCGACTAAGGCATCGCTGCATAGTGCAGCGGACGAGGAGCGAGTCGATGTACCGTTGGCAAACTCGATAAAGGACACGGGCGCCCCCGTGGTCTTGGCCGAGAACTCGAGCATCGCCGTGAGGAGCGACCCAATGAGCCGGGGCTAGAGGTCGTGTAGGATGCACAACTTGTCATTTGACGCACGGACCTGCGCGATCGCGTTGGCAAACTCTTTGGAGAAGAGCACGAGGCCGCTCGTCGCCATGAGCAGCACATTGCGCAGCATCGCAGAGTAAAACCGACTGCGTATCCGGATTTCGAAGTCGCGCAATCTCGTGCCTCTGTGGACGCGCCGAGTGACAAGATGTCAGTACTTGGAAGGACAAGAAGTTGGTGTCAGCTCGTGGTGCTGGCGCCGGTACTTCCGAGCGTGGCTACTACGAGCTCTGAGAAAATGCGTGAATAGAACCCGTTTTGGACAAATACAGGGATAGGATTAGAGGTTTTATCAAAACATGAAATTTGGTTTAGCGCAGACGTTTGGGAATGCACTGCGAGTACCACTCGTCCTGCGTCGAGCAGATCGTGCCAGAGACACACTCAGTGTTGCCCGTGTAGTCCTTCCCGCCGCACTGCTCCCATGCCTTCTTGGCGTCCTTGATGTCGATCGGCTTTTGGGTCGGCTCGGCCGGTGCCTTTGTCGGCTTCTCCGACGGCTTCTTCGTAGGCTTGGTCGTAGGCTTCTCCGACGGCTTGGTGGTGGGTTTCTCAGACGGCTTGGTGGTGGGCTTGGTCGTCGGCGCGTGCGTCGGCTTGGTCGTGGGCTTGGGCGCGTCCGTGGGCTCATCGTCCCAGCCGGAGCTCGACCCGCCATCGTTGGGCGACGGGCGGTCCGTGGGCACGGGCGTCACGTTCGGGTTCTTGGACGGGTCGCACGTATCGCTAATGTTAATGTCGGCGCAGTTCCAAAACTGTTCCTGCTGGTCGGCGCCACCGGGGTTGTTGCCACCGGTATACCACCAGCGCAGCACGCAGTGTGCGTCGCCGCTGCACGTGACGCCCTCCGGAAGGGTGTACTGCATCTTGAAGTTCTTGTTGCCGCCCGGCAGCTTCCACTTGGTCTCGCCGTTCGGACGCTTGAGCTCCGTAAAGCACTCTTCGGTCTCCTTGTCGTTCTTGCCGTTGAGCTTGCAGAGGCCAAACGTGAAGCTGCCGCGGTGGTTGGCCGTGATCTGGACGTCGATATCGATGGTCGAGCCCGGCTTGTAGCAGGCCGCGATCGCCTTCTCGCCATACTTGGGGAAGAGCGCGTACTTGCCGCCCGTCTCGTGGTGGCGTGTGCCGCCGTACGGGTCACCGCAGACGCCGTGCTTGGAGCCAATGCCGCCGGCGTTGAGCCCATCGTCGTCCCAGTCTTCGGGCACAAAGCTGAACTGCGAGAGACGGAACATCGAGCCGCGCTGAAGGGGCGAGAGCATGCGGCCGTGGGCCTCGACTTGCGTCGCGCCAAGCAGGGCAAGGAGCGCAACCGACGTGGTCTTCATGATGATACGAGTAGTGCGGGTGTCGAGGGCAAATGCACAATGAGCTTGTGAATCCCGCCTCATCTCCTTAGACAGGGCCAGCAACTGGAGTTCCATCGAGAGATCGGGTCGCCGACATGTCACGAGCCGGCACGGCCCAGCGGCAAGTACCACTCTAACTTGAGCTGGACGTAACGCTAATCGAACACATGTGGTGGACTGGAATTCCCGGGTTTATTCTCAAGGAGAGTATAGAGTATTTAGAGTATTTCGAGTAGATACGATGACGGACAACACTGGACGTTCATGGCGTGTGCATTGCACGCGCGCATCAACCGTTGTCTCCTTTCGAGGAATCGTTCCGTGGCAAGGAACTCGCACCCATACATCCTCGTTAGTCAGCAGTGCCAACACGAACACAGTGCCAACTCGACCAGCGATAAGATCGACTCTTAGCTGCGACTCGCTTACGCAGTGTTTACCATATGAGGAGCAAGCGGAGACTCAATCTGTCGCTGCCTACACTCGAAGACATCCGAAATGTGGTTGATGAGCTAGTAACTTTAGTTATAAAAAAGCCAAAAACTCCATGCTGTGGGCTGGTGTAGCTGCGCTGCGACGCGGACGCGGTGTGAACTGGGTGCATAGTATGAGCATATATGTAATGGTCTTGGCCAAGAGGCTGCGATCCTTGAAATCGTCTGTGTCCGAATCACTCTGCTGCTGCGTGCAGCTGAAGACGACCATTCCTCCAAACCCAGCAACCTTTTTGCCATCGACACCTTTTGTCATCGGATTATTCTTACTTCGAAATCCGTTTACTTCCCGTGGGGAGTTATGGAGTCCTCAGCTGAAGGGCTATAAAGTGCGGCTTGGACACGCCTTTTAAGTGGCCTCGTAGTAACTTGACGGCTCACATCGTGGCCACGGTGGCGCTCTTCGCAGAGACTTGAAGAGTCGTTTCCGACGAGGCTAAAAGAATGCACAGAAGATACAAACAAGGCGGCGTGTGATTAGTCTCGCCCCCATCACAAACACGAGTAGTACTACACAGCCACATGACTCGCCTGTCTTGCGGCGTGGTAGGCGCGGACGCGGTCAGCGATCGACTCGCGAAACGTAATCTCCCAGCGTCGACCTCGCTCCATAAAGACCTCCATGGGGCTGCGACGCATTTCGTCCCACGGCAAGTTGGTCGCCGCGTCCTTCTCGCAAAAGCGAAACTCGCGCATCTTGGCTCGCACTTCATGCTCGTCTTCGGCACGGCACGTGTTGACGTGGCAGAGAAACGTAAAGTCCACGAGCCCGTTCGTGCCGACCTCGACGGTCGTCCAGCCCCACTGCACGCCGGTGACGCCGACGCTCAGATGCGGCTGGAGCGCGTCTTCGAGCACGGACCGCCACACAATAAGGCGTCGCGACGGCTCGCGAATCATCTTGGCGATCACGTTGAGGTGGATCGGGATGCCGCCGACGGCCGCGTGGTACTTTTGGTATACTGTATCATTGTCAATGCGCTCGATGGTCTACGGTGGACAAGATGTCATGCGACTCGAGGACTCGCAGTAACGTACGTAGGTGGCACCGACAGCCACGGGCACGACCTTGTCGCCGGTGAAGACGTCCCAGAACGCTTCCGCGACAAGATCCATGGGCGCATCGTATGTGTCGCGCACGATAAACTTGGCCGTGACCGAGCCGTTGGGCTCAGTGACCGCCTCGGCCCGGTAGTCTTGGACACCTGAGACCGGGTACAGGCCGGCGTTGAGGTAGGCCGTCTGTTGCCGCGAGTACTCGCGATCCGCAATCGCGTGGATCGCGGCAAGTCGGAGGTGCTGGGCGGCCGCGAGCTTGTACTGCTTCCAGTCGGCCATGTGGCTGTTGTGAACGTCCGTCTAATGAGGCGTCTTCGATGCGCATAACGTCTTGCACGTACGTACCTGCAGCATCGGACGTTTTCGGAGCAGCGTTAGCATCGCGTCGACAAACGTGACTTGCCGGTCGACTTCGCTGCGTAAATGAGCGTTTTCCTGCAGCGCCTCGGTCTTGGTAAGCAGCTCCTGCTTGGCGATCGTCGACCACATCGTCGTCGGCGGCAGCGCGGCGTCGCCCTTGGCCTTGAGCTCGCGCAGGCGCGCTTGGAGCGCGGTCACGTCCGTGCGCAGCTGCAAGATCTCTTGGCGCTGCTTGAACTGAAACTTGTTCTTGGCGCGGACGAGGTTGGTCTCGGCCTTGCGTTTGGTCGGCGCCGGCGCCGCAAAGTCGTCAAGCGCGGCCTCGACGATGGGCGACGTGGCCGTCGCCGACGAAGACGAGCTGTCGCTCCCGTGGAGCGTGTCGAGGAGGTCGCACATGGCCGAGAGCTCCGTGTGCAGCTCCGCGTCCGTCGCGATGAGGAACTCGAGGCCATGCATCATCGCTCGCTTCTCTGCCATCGCTCTTGCCGTACTCGGCGACCTTCGGCAGTGTCCAGTAAAATGACCCACATTTGCGACCATCACTCCTCTTTGCCAAACAGGCCACCATGGCAGCGCATGACGCCGGCGCTTGCGACCACGTGGTGCTTGTTGGCGGAGAGCTCATGCTGGCGCAGATGAGTAGAGGCTCCGCATGCAGTGAGCCTTCATCTCAACGACCCCGCGACGCTGAACCAATTAGAGGCAAACACGAAGTCCTTCTGCATGATTACGAAAAGTGGGCGCCGCTTGGTACGTGCGTTGAGCACGGTACTACTCTAGTCGACTTACGGCTCTGGCGTAGGCTCGGTCACATCGTGGGTCTGGGTCTCCTCGTATGCGCCGCTGCCTCATACACCGCCGACGCGAGGCTGGCTCATCGCGTAGTAGTGCGACTCGATGGCCTTCCGGATCGCCTTGCGCAGGGCGAGCTCAAAGAGCCGGCCTTTGCCCATGAGCGCGCTCATGACGGCGGCCGTTGGGTGGACCGGGCGGCTCGCTGCGTCCTGTGCATTGTCCGTCGGCGTGCTAAACTGCATTTGCTGCAACGACGCTTGCGCGAGTGCCACGTCATCGCAGTGGCTCCGGTCCAACGGCACTTGAAGATAGATTGTGAGTTTGCACTGCCGCGGGCCTTCGTCTTCCGCGATCGCCCTATCGAAACGCAACTTTCGTATCGTCGTACGAAGCTTCGCAGCATCGTACCAGCCCCACTGCTGCTCGCGTGCGCCGCGCGACATGTGCGGCACGCGCTCGTCCTCGAGCACATTGCGCCAGACGATGACGCGCCGGTGGTCTTCCCGGTACTGCTTGGCGATCGTGTTGGCGTGAATCGTCGTACTTGGCGACATGGCTTGCGTGTATCGTTGGTAGACCGTATCGTCGTCAATGAGGTCGATCGTCTACAGCACACATGACAATTTGTCAAATGCATAAAAAGGTACCTGCGTCGCGTCCGCAGCCACCTCTTGGCCGTTCTCGCCATTCATGACGGACCAGATCGCATCACCAATGACGTGAAAGGGCGCGGGGTGTCGTAGTTGGTTGATGAATTCGAGCAACACGCAGCTCTCGGCGTGTGGCCGGAGCGCCCGTGCAATGTGTACCTCGTTGTCGTTGGCGAGAAGGCCAGCCTTGTCGAACGCAGGCCGCTGCCGAGCGTACTGCCGGTCGGCGATCGCGTGGATGGCCGCGACACGGAGCGAGTGCTGCGCGGCGAGCTTGTACTGGGCCCACGTCTCCTCGCTCGAGGTCACCTAGCACATGGATCGTCCTTGTCGCGTGAGGCGTGCATATGACGTACGTCAATGCGAGGCTTCTTGTGGATGTACGCCTTCATCGAGTCGATCAAGGTCGTTTGGTGCGCGACGGCCGCGCGCAACTGGTGGTGCTCGGCCATCGCGCGGCGGCTCTCAGCAAAGTGGCGTCGCGCAGCTGCTTCCCAGTCGACGTTCTGCGTAAGTGCCGTCGACGCCTTGCTTGTCTCGAGCGTCTCTTGGAGCTCGGCGACTTCTTTTCGGAGACGTAGAATCTCTTGCTTTTGGCGGTACTGAAACTTGTTGCGTGCGCCGACCGCTGGCAGCGGCTCTTCGTCGATGATCTTCTTGCGCTTCCGACGCGGCGCCTTTGGTGCTTTTGCAGGCGCCACGGCTTCTTCGTCGAGCGTTGTGTGGAAGTCCTCGAGAATCGAGTCGATCGTCTTTTTGGTTGTCTCGTTGTCGGACGACGTGCTGTAGACCGACTCGGCAAGGCCGTCGCTTGCGTACGCATCGAGGAGGTGGCACACTTCAGCAAGCTCGTCCTGGAGGTGGCTATCGGTCGCGAGGAGGAAGTGTAAGTCTGTCATTGTGATCACGTCCGCTGGACTCGCCTCGCTAGTTGACATCATGGACGACAACGACGATGTGTGATGCGACCAAGAAGCCAGCCGACTGCCAAATGCTGCTGAGATTGCCGTTAGTGCCAGTATCCGGACTATCCGGATGACGGCCTAGGCATCATCAATCCACTCTGCCAGTACCTTTTGCATGCGTGGGCCGCGACTAGCGCGCGAATGTACCCCCATGGCCGTCGCGCCAAGGTCTCGTGCACACAAGCATGTATTCCCCAGACGCGTACGATGCGTCGTTTTGGGCGAGGCGAGGTTTGAAGATGCGGTCCCACTCCTTACGCGAGTCCATATCCAAAGACCGTGAGTATC